ACAGCAGCTGTGAGGACAGTGAGACTCAGGGCGGTGCCAACCAGAGCCTTCCCCAAGGGGTCTTCATAAGCCAGAAACGTCACAGCCTTTTGGAGGCAGAGATCTTGCTGTCTGTTGGGATACTGATGATCTGCACACCGCAGACACTGATCCATGTCTGGTGAGCAATGTGAAATGTCGTCAGACCAGATCCAGCAGTTCTCCTTTATTCTCTGGCCCATTAGAAGAACATATGCCTCCTATTAAGTTAGTTAGCCCAGTTGCTCTTTATTGTTGCTGTGGACAGTGTGTAAAAACATGCTCTACAGTGCCTGGCATGTGGCACGTGCTTGTAGTCACCACCTCTGTGATGCTGAGGCAGGAGGATTGCGAGTGCTAACCCATTCTGCACAAATTAGCAACTTCGTGAGGCCCAGTCTCAAAATAAAACAAAAGGGCTGGGAATGAAACTCGATGGATGACCCTCGTCACTTCTCAATACAACAAAAAGAAAAAGAGAAAATGTTGAATAGGGAATGAGTTCCAGTGAACAGTGCTTATATTTTTTATGGTTAAGTAAAAAGTTATTGTTTTATTCATCATCATCATTATTATTATTATTGTTTTTTTTTTCCGGTACCGGGGATCGAACTCATGACCTTGCACTTGCCGGGCAGGCGCTGTGCCTCGAAGCTAAATCTCCAGCCCCTATTATTATTATTGTTAACAGTTCGGGCTGGCTTCGAATTCATTATGTATCCAAGACTGGCCTCAAATTCACTGCAATCCTCCTGCTTCAGCCTCCCGAGTGCTGGGATTACAGACGTGCACCACTGCGCCTGGCTTGCTTCTTATTACTACATCATTATGCAGTCACAGTCTCATCGCTCAACAAAAACAAACTCCTACCGCCTCATTCACAGGGCTGCATTAAAATATCTTTGACTGGATAGGTGGCAGAAGTATGAACTTCCTGTGAGTGCTGGAGCTCAAGGTCAAAGAGGCAGTGGATTACACTTCCTCTGGAGGGCATCTCTTCACCCTCATTGTGGTGCCCTATTGCTGCATTCTCATGTTTCAGCAGAGAGAAATGGATGCCCTCAAACTTGTTTATTTGGCACTGATTGTATTAACGAAGGTCGAGACCCTGCATTTCAACGCCATTACTTTGGGATTATGTTTCAAAGTACAAAATTTGAGAGGACAAAAGACAAGTACTTGTCTCGCCTAACTGTACCTCTAGAAGCTATCACCATGGTTACTTCATACAGGGACCAAATACTAACTGAGGAAACATCCTGAGCGGGATAATTTGCTAAGGTCCAAGGAAATAGAGATGGTGAGAAATACTGTGTTCTAGGTGGACTGTTGGGGTTTGGATCAAGGATCACCCCCAAAGTCCTCCGTGTTTGGAAGGTCGTTGGATTAGGGGAACATTTTAGCTCACTTGTTATAGAAAAGTTGGGTCTGATCAGGAAAGATGGGTTACTCGGGTTGACCTGGAAGAATGAAGCCTCACTTTGCTTGCAGCTCTCTGGAGGCCATGAGGTGGCAGCATTCTTCCGCCAGACCCTCGCTCCCGCCTCTGTGCGGTGGAGCCAGCCAAGGAGGCACCAAATACGTGAAATCCTCTCCCCTGCATGTTTTGGTGTTAAGTATTTTGTCCCAGGGACAAAAACATGACTAAGACAAAGAGTTAGTTCTCTCACTCCATCAGTTGTAATTTCTACCAGGGAATACAGAATTTTGTTCTCTTGCATTGAATTAGCAGATCAAATATGAGGGTACTGATCATTTTTCAGTACTGCGTGTTCCCATCACAGCTGTGCCATCCTTATCCATGAATTTCATCTTAGTTTTTCTAAGTGATTTTCAATGAATTTAAGAGAAAAAGACTTAAAATTTTTATGAAATTCCTTTCTAGGTAGCTCATTGATTTGAAATGTTGTAAATACTACCTTTTAAAGCTTATTTTCCAAATACTACATGACAAATATAAAGAATGGAAAATCTCGGGGCTGGGGATTTAGCTCAGCAAGCGCAAGGTCGTGAGTTCGGTTCCCGGTACCGGAGAAAAACAAAAAACAAAAAACAAAACAAAACAAACAAAAAAAAAGAGGAAAATCTCTCTTCACTAACTTTGTATTTAGTAGCTAGTATAGTCAATGATCACTTCCCTAATATTTTTGGATTTTATATTCAGGCAATAATTTCTATGACTAAAACCCTTTAAATATTTCCTTTCACACAATATTCCTGCTAATGCTACTGTTTTTTTTTTTCAGTATTCATGGGGTGTTACATTGAAATTCTCAATATTGATCTCCTCATATTCTACATTATGTCCAAATGTGAATCTCCATTCACAGTGACATTTTTTTTTTCTTTTAGAGATAGGATCTTGCTATGCAGTTCACTCTGGCCTTGAGTTTACTTTATAGCCCAGGCTGGCCTCAAACCCACAACAATCCTCCTGCCTTAGCCTCCCAAGGGTTGGGATTACAGGTGTGCACCACTACACCCAGCTCACATTGACATTTATATTATCTGGATATTACACACAGTGGTAGTTTTTGAAATTCACCATTTCTGATGACCTCAAAAATAATTTTTCAAATACAGGAACTATAATTTCATTTTATTTCAGTCTTTCATTCTTATTTTTACCCTGTTTCTTTTCTTTCTTATGAAGATAGATTTATGCCATATTTCACTGAACTCATATCATAATGATTCCAACACTTTTCACAAAGCCCAGGGAACCACTCAAAAATGGAGATATTCTCTTATATACAGTAGAGTTCTCTGTGAATACATTTATGGAAGCCTTATAAGACTTCCTTGAATTCACAGCTCTATCTGCTGTGTTCCTTACTCTAATGTGAAGAGAGAGCAGAATAATGCATCCATTATATACTGTTGTATAGCATACTAAGCACTATAGAAATATGTATTTTGTAAATCACATGCAACTTCTGTGACCATCAGCTCTGTTTTGATGAGAACATTTCTGAAGACTTGGAAAGTAAGGAAGCTCCAAATCCTGTCTTTGACTTGAGTTAGATAAATATGTATGCTACCACATGTTAAGACCTGTGGAGATAAACTTGTTATTCTTAGTTTGTCAAAGGGAGTCTCTTCCAAACAACACTATCTGCAATGTGTCTAAAACAGTGAGTCAAAAAAGTAGCTCAAGATGTGGACAGAGATTGGGTTACTGTCACGGAAAACATTACCAATTATATCAATTAAAATACTAACTGAAGAATGGAAAAAATTTGTCTTAGCATGTCTCTTCCAGATAGTTTCTGGTTCTTTCACAAATGGAGGAGTATAGAAGACCCATGGAATTTATCCATAAGGCACACACTCACCTGTCTCATTGGAAATCTCATTCTCTGCACAGCGTATGCAGTCATAACAACAGATAGGCTTTCCCTCCAGAAGGATTTTCCTGAATCCAGGGTGACAGCTTGCACTGCACACAGAGCTTGGAGTCTGAGGAAAATCATGTATGTGTTAGTAATAGAAAGGACTTCTACACGGTCTAATAACTTCAGTATTTTAGGGCTGTAGACTATTAACAACTGAGTATCTATACTTACAGCCAGCTAACCAACCAAGTTACAGTGAACCAAGTACATTAAACATGGGAAACATATGGATGGATAAATGTTTTCCTCTGCACCCTATCACAGTCAGTAAGAAATTCCTGGGTTCTGGTAAGTGAGCGACTAAAGGTCCCTATGTGTCCCTTCCCTGAGCTTAGAGGATGCATGAAATCCACTGCAAGATCTCACTTATTTATATGTAAAGAATTATGATGATGTCTGACCCACCTGTCTGAACTGTGAGGCCCACTCTATCATTTCCTCAGATAAAGACAATTGTTGACCATGTGGAAAATGTGGGGAGAACTTTCCTACTTTCACCTTAAGTCCAAGTCCTTCTGGAAAATTCCAAAAGTTGAGAATATCATACTCTGCATCTAGTTTTTCTTTCTGATTCATATTCACCAGTTCTCCAGCAGGACTGTTAAATCTGACGCTCTTCAGGAAAGGGTGAAGCTGAAAGAGAGGCATTATTTCATGATGAAGTGCATACCTGTGTCAAGAAAGCAAATGGAAATTAGGGAATGTCCTTCATTTTCTCCAATTTCCTCCTCAAAGTTTGGTTCTATCACTAGCATACAGCTGAGTAAAACAAATGAAAGAGTATTGCAAGCTAAAATATAATAATTGACTCTGTGCTTCCCCCATTGTCCCTGGGACAGTGGCACCAGCACTGTGAGTGTGTGAGTCTGCACTCTGCCCTTCCTCCATTGCCTCAAGATGACTGCGGGTGAGAGGAACACAGCAGTGCTGGCAAGAGGACCATGGCAGTGCCAGTGAGAGAAGTGGTGGCAGTGCTGGCTAGAGGAGACATCCTGAGGAATGGATGCCTCCTAGGAAAGCCTCAATGTCAGTGATAAGGTTATCTAACATTAGAATTCTTTTTTTTTTTTTTTTTGGTTTTTCTCCGGTACCAGGAACCAAACTCATGACCTTGCGCTTGACAGGCAGGCGCTTTTGCCGCTGAGCTAAATCCCCAGCCCCTCTAACATTAGAATTCTAAAAGAACCCATAAGAAAACAAAATAAAATAGACCACGATGAGATGAAAAAGCAAAATGCAATCTCAAATGTCCACCCCACCTAGGACAAATCCAAAACACAAAGAGACAGAGGAAATCAGAAGCCAGCAAATGGAACTCTCTGAAATGATAGCAGCAGACATCAAAAACAAATTGAAGAGGCCATAAAAGAACACAATCTCTATGGTGCAAAGAGAAATGACTACCAAAGTAAAAGACATTAAATCAGACACAGATGAACAAATAGAGGAGCTCAGGAAAATGATGGAAACTATAAATGCCAAAGATAGACAAGAAATGGAATCAATGAAACAGATCCAAGAGAAATGCAGCAGACTAGGCAGGTGCTTGTGCTACTGAGCTGTATCCAGCAGATTGAATGAAGAGAAGATAGAATATCAGATCTAGAAGACAGGAATGCAGCTAGCAACGAGGAAAAGAAGGATTTCTTAAAAATCACAAGAGATCATGAAAAGTCAATCCAACAGCTACAGGATGAAGCAAAGAAGAACAACATAAGATTGACTGGAATCAGTGAGAAAGCTGGAGATAGCACAAATGCCATTAAAAACCTTTTCACACAAATAATGGCAGAAAACTTCCCAAACATGGATAAAGAATTTGACATACAAATAAATGAAGCATATAGAACTCTAGATAGCCACAACTAAACTAAATCTACACCACAGCATATACTAATCAAGATTCCAAAAATTCAGCACAAGAACAAAATATTAAAAGCAGCTTGAGAGAAAAAAATATCATCTATAAAGAAAAGCCCATCAGAATCATGGCAGACTTCTCAACACAAACTCTAAAATCAAGAAGAGTTTGGAGTGAAATATTTCAAGCCCTAAAGGAAAAAAAATCTTCATCCCAGATTGATGTATCTCTTAAAACTGTCTTTCAAGATTGATGGAGAAATAAGATACTTCCATAACAAAGAGCAACTGAAGAAATTAATGACTAGCAAACTGGTGCTACAGAATACTCTGAAAGACATATTGCAAAGAGATAATGAAGGCCCAAAACACATGAACACCAATAGAAATAAGCCACCAGGGTAAACAATTAAACAGCAGAAAGACAGGGAACAAATAACAAGGAAACAACATGGAAGAGAAAAGCCAATACATCATCAACATAAATGCTCTCAACTCATCCATCAAAACAGACTGGCAGAATGGATCAAGAAGCAAAATCCAACAATATGCTATATTCAAGAAACCTATTTAACCCAAAAAGAAATTCATAGACTAAAAGTCAAAGGATAGAAAACAATTCTCCATGATACAGGACCCAGAAAAAAGCAGGAGTAGCTGTTCTATTTTCAGATAATGTAAACTTCAAGCCAAAACTGATCAAAACAGACAAAGAAGGTCACTACATATTCATTAAAGGAAAATTCCCAGAGGAAGAGAGAACAATCATAAATATTTATGCACCAAACACAGGTTCACCCAACTCTATAAAACAAATATTAACTGACAGAAAAACCAAATAAACACTAACACATTTGTAGTGGGGGATATTAATACCCAACTCTCACAAATGGATAGATCAACAGACAAAATATCAAAAAAGAAATATTGGAATTAAACCAAGCTTGTGAATAAATGGACCTGGTAGATATCTACAGAGTGTTCAAGCCCAAAACGTCAGAATATACATTAGCTAAACTCATCAAAACGAGGAAAGAACACAAATTCAAGAAATTAGAATAAAAAGAGGAAATCACAACAGATCCTACAGAAATACAGAGCATCAATAGCTATTATGAGAAACTATATTCTAATCAGATGGAAAACAGAAAGGAAATGGACAGATTCCTAGACACAATCAAATTGCCAAAACTAAATCAAGAAGATATAAAAATTATAAATAACCCAATATCCACCAAAGAAATTGAAAATGTAATTAAAAATTTACCAACAAAGAAAAGCCCAGCCCCCCCTCTTTTTTGTGGTACTGGGGATCAAACTCACGACCTTACACTTGCCAGGCAGATGCTTATGCCATTGAACTATATCCCCAGCCCAAGCCCAGGCCTGGACAGATTCACTGTTGAATTCTATAAGAAGTTTAGAGCAGAACTAATGCCACTAATGCTGAAACTCTTTAAAGAAACTGAAATGGAAGCAGTACTTTCAAAATCATTCTTGGAAGCGTGTATTACCCTGATTCTAATACCAGAGAAAACCCAACTGTAGGAGATGGTGACTTTTAGCATATCACTTTAGATAGAACAGTTTTAGTAAAGGCCTAAAATGTGTCCTGGGAAACCTCCCAGGGAAACTGTAAAAGCTATCCTTGTAGTCAACTTTGCCCAGGAATGTTTCCCCAAGATAAGGAACACCCAGGCCTAGATAACCATCTGTGACCCTGCCTGGGTTGTTTCATCCCTTCTTTGACCCTAGTTAAACATTATAACCCTAAAAGAATGTATAGGTTGTGAAAAGGGAAACAAACAGAACATAATGGGAGAAACATCTATCATGGTTAGACATGTGACCAGGAACTAACCCGGGTCCCACGGAATAAGAGGAAAACCATATGGCCACCTGAGTCAGCAAATGTAACATCCCCATCTGTAACCATGGAAACCCAAAACATATTTAAGAGCTGAACAAAGACTAGTGGGTGCCGACGTTTCCTGACTTGTTAGTTGGGAGATGAATGGTGTCTGGCCTAAAATTCAATAAACTCTGTTTGTCCTAAATAGGGTTCTTTGGTCTTCTGTGCAATTCAGCCTGTTTGCTGCCACACAACCAAGAGAGAAAGCTACAGGCCAATCTCCCTAATGAACATTGATGCAAAAATCGTTAATAAGATACTGACAAACAGAATTAAGCAAATCATGAAGAAGAGTATACATCATGACCAAGTAAGATTCATACCAGGGAAGCAGGGATGGTTCCATATATGCAAATCAATAAATGTAATACACCATATTAATGGAACAAAAGACAAAAATCATGCAATCATCTCAATATATGCAGGTAAAGCATTTTATAAAGTTCAACAACAATTCATGACAAAAACCTTACAGAAAATTGGAAGAGATGATGTTTACTTCAATCTGATAAAAGCCACCTATGACAGCCCAACAGGTAATATCATATTAAATGGTCAGAAATGGAAAGCTTCCACTCTAAAATCAGGAACAAGACAAGGACATCCATTATCACCACTTCTATTCAATATAGTTTTGGAAACATTAGCCAGAGTAATTAGACAAGGAGAAAAAATAAAAGGAATAAAAGTAGGAAGGAAGAAGTTAAATTTTCATTATTTGCAGATGACATGGTACTCTACATAAAAGATCCCAAAAACTCCATCAGAAATCTTGTAGATCGAATATCCAAATTCAGTAGTGTAGTGGGTTACAAAGTCAACACTCACAGAACAATAGTGTTGCTATACACAAGCAACAAACTCACAGAGAGAAATTAGGGAAACCACACCCTTCATGATAACTTCCAAAAAAATGAAATACTTAGGAATTATTCTAACAAAGGATGTAAAAGTTCTGAATAGTGAAAATTACAGTACCCTAAAAAAGGAGATTGAAAAGGATATCAGACCATGGAAAGATATCTCTTGTTCATGGATAGGAAAAACCAACATTGTGAAAATGGCCATACTCCCAAAACTGCGATACAGATTTAGTGAATCCCAATCAAAATACCATTAACATACCTCATGGATCTAGAGAATATATGCTTAAAATTCATTTTGAAGCAGAAAAGACCTAGAATAACAAAAGCAATTCTGGGAAACAAAGGCAAATCAAGGGGCATCACAATCCCAGACCTGAAATTATACTACAAAGCTACTGTTATAAAATCAACATGGTACTGGCAAAAAGCAGACCCGAGATCAGTGGAACAAAATAGAAGATACAGATGCACCCCCAAACACACTCAGACATTTTATCTTTGACAAAAGAGCTAAATATGTTCAGTGGAAGAAAGACAGTCTCTTTAATAAATCATGCTGGAAAAACTGGCTTCACACATGCCAAAGGCTAAAACTAGACCCATGTCTATCACCATGTACTAAACTAAAATAAAAATGGATTAAAGATTTAAATATTAAAATAGAAACACTAAGTTTACTGGAAGAGAAAATAGGCAGAAATCTCAAGGACATAGGTATAGGTAGAGACTTCATGAACAAAACCTGGGGAAATATTACAAAGAATCAAAAAATGGGCTCTCACCTTATTAAAAAACTTTTGCGCAACAAAAGAAATCACCAAAAGAGTGAAAAGGCAACTCACAGAATGGGAAAAATGATATCCTATTGTCCCACAGACAAATGACTTATATCTAGAACATATAAATTAAAAAAATTAGACCTTCCCAAATTTAAAGACCCAATCTGAAAATGGGCATCTGAGAAGAAGACACATTTCTGCCATGAAGAAATACAAGTGGTAAATAAATACATGAAAAAATGTTCAACATCATTGGTCATTCATGAGATGGAAATTAAAACAATGCTGAGATTCGATCTCACCCCCAGAAGAATGGCTATCATGAAAAAAATCAACCAAATGCTGGGGGAGCAAAGAACAAATGCTGGAGAGGCTGTGGGGTAAAAGGAACACTTCTCCACTGTTGGTGGGAGGGTAGACTGGTACAGCCACTGTGGAAATCAGTGTGGAGATTTCTCAAAAAACTAGGATTAGTTTTATTTGACCCAGAAATTCTCCTGCTAGGTATTTTCCCAGAAAAATTAAAAAATCATACCACAGTGATATACATGCCCCCATGCTTATAGCAGCACAGTTTGTAGTGGATAAATCTTAGAAACAACCCAAATACCCATCAACTGAGGCATGGATAAAATGGATTTTTAAAAATATAATGGAGTACTACTCAGCCATAAAGGATAAACTGGAGATTTTTTAATAGGTAAATAGATGCAACTTGAGACTATACGTAAGTGAAATAAACCAAACCCATTCATGGAAACTGATGGATTTCTCACCTCACTGTAATTCCTACTGAATTGCTGCGGTGTCCAGCCAATATGGTGCTGGAGGCCCTGTGCTATGTCCCTGAACCAGTATGGTGCCAAGTCAGTATGGCACTGGCCACTAGAGGTCAAGTGCTAAGCCCCACCCTTTTTCCTCTGAGTCAAATTACGACTTCCTACTTCCCTTTTTGTAATATCCTGTTTCCTTTTCCCATGCTCCTGCCCAATCCTCATCTGCCATGTCAGGTAGTCCTCCTCTTAAACCCTGCCTCCAACCTGGGCTTATTTAACCTTTGACCCTACAACAGGCCCTCTCTCTCTTTCTCTCTCTCTCTTTCTCTCTCTTTCCTTGTGGTCTTCTCTACACCCACAATAAAGGCATTTTGGGGACTGGGGATTTAGCTCAGTGGCACAGTGCCTGCCTGGCAAGCACAAGGTTGTGAGTTCGATTCCTGGTACCAGAAAAAAACCAAAAACCAAAACAAAACAAAATAAAGGCATTTTATTCTGCTTTACTTCTCTCTGCACTGGAAAAACCTATCAGAAACATCATATTGTCTCACTAGTGTGAGAAACTGAATAAGTAAATAGGACCCAAAATGTACAATAGACATTGTGAACTGGGAAGTAACTGTTCAAAGAAAAGGATGACTTGTCATCTGGGATAGGGGAAAGGAAGAAAAGGAAAAAGAAAAAAATATGTACATGCAAGATAGTTAAGATAGTTTAAAAGCTAGCTTCTCTTAGTTCCTTGAAAAGGAATGTTTTGTGCTAATATTGTCTAGACAAGATATCATGCCTGTATCTTGTACTCTGATTAACTACTATGAAGACAGCAATATGCAATGTATCACCTACTGTAACTGTTCTACTAACCTGTTTTGAAACTTGTTTTTTATTGTTTTTCTTCTCTTTAAAATAAAAAATTAGTTTTCTAAAATGTCACATTTGGGGCAAAATGTCCCAACATGTGCACAGCTAAATAAAAAGTAGACGTGGTAGGGGGATAAATCCCAGCATGGTTCCTGCATGACTGATCTCAGAGCATCAATCAGTGGCCTGAAGCCACTGATTGCAGTGCTTGCAGAAATAACAGAGATCAGAATTACAGGAAACCATTTACTTAAAATACCCATTATAATTCAAAGGACTTTTAGGCATTTAAGTCACTAGTTCACTTCAGTTATGAACTTCATAGGCAAAGACATTATTTTCTGTTGATAAAATTAAATGTTCAGGGTGCTGAGGTCCTCAGTAACACAAAGCATGAATTGCTATTCATGAATTCTTCCCGCAACGCCACAGGTATCTTGTTCTTGAGTTCTACCCAGGTGTTTACTTACCTTTTTGGTAGTTGAAAAGTATGCAATTGTTTGTTTGGGACAAAGGAACCTAAAATCCTTGGATTGGGCATGTGGGGAATTCTTCAGAAAAGTCATTTGAATGACAAATTATACCACCCTTTGGAAGAGACATTACCTGCCAGGGGGAAAATATCAATCCTTTCCCATTTTGGGTTGGTTTCACATCTACTGGTTGAAGGAGCATATCATGCAGGGTGTGAGCCACGGCATACACTGCATTGTAGATATCATAGCTTACATCACTCATGGTCGTGTCAAAGCTCTGCCCAGGTAATCCTTCCAAGGAGCTGGAGGATGAACAGTTCTCCAGCGACTTACAGTTAGACTCTGTGCCTGAGCAATTAAAAAACCTCCACCACAATCTGGCAAGGAAAATGTCTTCAGGGTATTTGGAAGGTTTCACTGTCTGGGTGAAATTTTTAAAACCAGAGATCTCATTGTGGTGGTGAGAGAAAATGAGAGTCCCATGGAATGAGTCAAGAAAGAAATGTTTGCGGCTGGTGGTAACATCCCATTGCGAGGTGGTGACCCAGACTATTCTTGTGATGAAATAGTCCCATTGTTTAAAGGCTATACCTATGTAGGAGTCATCAGCACCAAAAATGATAACAACGTTGGCCGATGATGTTCTAATTTGTCTGTGGTACGTATTACGTCTTAGAAACAGCAGCAAGGAGCTTGGGATCATAGTCACAAAGGCAATGCACACTCTGTTCCTCTCCATCTCTCCTCTCAAGGCTGAGAGAAACTGAATACCTTTCTCATCTTCTGAAATAATCATCCCTACCCAGTTCCAGCTGAAATGAAGCATCAAGGAGACCATGCCACGGGCTAGAGATGTGTCCTTGGGGGCCATCTGATAGAGAGAAGGGAACTGACCATGGTTGTTCAGGATAGGATCAAAAGGCCCATAGGTGAGCTGAAAAGAAATAATATACTCAGTCTTATAATGAAGAAGACGGAAGATTGTCTTTTTTTGGGGGGTGTGGTGCAAGATCTCACTGTGTAATTTGGGCTGGCCTGGAACTCACTATGTAGCTCAGGCTGGCCTCAAACTTGAAGTCATACTCCTGCCTCAGCCTTCTGAGTGCTGGGATGACAGGCGTGCAGCACCACACCTGGCTGAAGATGGTTTTAAACTGGGACCACAGTACTCAGGTGCGCTGAGCAGCAGATGGAAGTGGCAGAAGAGAAGAATTCTCTTCCTGGTTTTTCTAATAATCTCCCAAATCCAGAGAGCAGCTTATAAAACAACACAGTTCACGCAGCTTTCCAGGAAAACACTTTCTTTTCCTCACGTGGTCATGAATACTTATACCCATCAATTACTCCATGTACCTACCCTTTGATACTCATACTTGGATACTTTCATAACCTTAGTCTCTTTCCCCCTCCTCGGGCATCTGAGGAAGGCGTGCAGTGACATGGTTTCATCTTCCCCCATCCCACCTACCGTTACCTGTGGGATTCTGTAGAGCTCCAGTAAAGTCCCAAACTTCAGAGATGCTGACAAGGTGGTCTGTGTCAGTACCGCCGCAGACTTGCTCTCTCTCCTGCAGGTGTAATTGGGGATTCTCTTCTTCAGTCCTGAGAGCCAAACTATGGAATTCTCCAAAACAGTGCGGTCATTGAAGACGTTGTAGAGATCGTATCCCAGAGACATGTTGGGTAAGAGGTGAGGATTCTTGTTGATCTCCTCAATGGCAAAAACAAAGGCCAGCACATACTGGTAGTTCTTAGACTCCAGCCTGCATAGAAGGCAGAAGATTTTTAGGAGTAAGACTCCAATCACGGTTCTTTTCAAATCCAAGTCATTAGCCACGGTGTGTTGAGTGCTTGTTTGTTCCTAATATATACTATATTAACAGAACATGTGGGGGTTGAAACACGAGATTTACTGGGAGATAAATATGGTCAGATATTTTCATTAGAGTAAATCTCATAGAAAGTGGATTTGGGTCTTTTGAAATTCAGATAGAGCATGCTTCATTACTCAGTCCCAGGGGGACTCATGGGAAGTCTGTCTCCATCCATGCCCTAGGTGAGATGGCCTAAGAAGCCAATGAATATGACCAGGCATCGAGCTTGGGGTTCCTGTTCTCCACATATGTGAAATATAATGTCTTTGCCTTTCTCAGTGCCTCCTCTTTTTACTCTTTCCTCCCTCTCTTCTTCTATTTTTCAATTTGAATCTGCATAACCTTAAAATGATAATAATATAATATATACAAAGATTTGGCTTTCCTTGTGATTAGTTAAAACTCAAGGCTTTTATAGGTAAATGGTCACAACTAGAGGCCATACTCATAAGTGAAATAAGTCAGACCTGCCTGTGTAAGAATTGTATTGTCTCACTAGTGTAAGACCTGAAAGAGTGAAGAAAAAATTGGAGGTATGATAGACATTGTAAAATGAAAGGAAAATGCTCAAAAGTAAGGAGCAACTGGGGTGTGGGAAAAGAGAAGGGAAAGAAGGGGAAATTATGTAAGTATGTATATACAGGATAGCTAACACAGTTGTACTACTGTCTTCTATTGCTCTACAGAAAGGAACAGTTAATGATTACTTGTTTGATCAGTCTTGTATGTCTCTGTTTTCTTGAGAAACCACTTTGAAGATATCAAAAAGTAATACAATAACCATTGTTAATTTCATACAACTTTGTCTGTAACTCTGTTTTGTTTGTATTGCTCTTACGCTATTTTGTAAATGGATGTCTGTTTGCTAATGTTTTCCATTTTTATTTCTTAAAATAAAAAAAGGGCTATTTGAATCCTAATAAGGAATTTTATGTTTGTACAATGTAATTTTTTTTTTTTTGTCTTTTTGAGACAGGGTTTTGCTATGCAGTTCAGGCTGGCCTTGAGTTCACTTTGTAGCCCAGGCTGGTCTCCAACTCACAATGAACCTCGTGCCTTAGCCTCCCAGTGCTGGGATTACAGGCATGTGCCACCACACCTGGTTTGTACAATGTATTTGATGCAGTTATAACTCTCTTGAATTTTTTTTGTTGGTGTGTTCCTATTTCTTTGTGCTTTCTGTTGTATTTTGACTTAGAAGTTGCAATCAAATTTCATTTCACATGTTTCTTTACACAAGGTTTGGCTACATTTGGCAATTTGTATTTAACATGAGTTTATGTTTATCTGAAAAGAGAAGGGATCTGCATTACTTTGTGTTTAGGAATGTACTTGCCTTGCACTTGTCCTCCGTATTTCATTTTTTGTTTTTCAGTTACATTTTCTATTGCTTCTTCACTCCCAGCTTATCATGTATCCCGGACCACATTGTCTGCAGTGTGTGTTTACTATTTTCTCATGTACTGCACAATCTACATGACCTTTAACTTCTGGGTCTTGCATAGCTCACTTGCCACTGTCTTTTTTTTACAGGAACTTTTTTTTTTTTTGACCAAGAATCGAATTCAGGGCCTTGCGCTCGCCAAGCAAGGTGCTATATCCCCGGTGTCATTGTCTTTTTTTTATTTTTGCATTTCTCAGGTCCTTTTCATCTTCTCCTCTGCATCTAACTCCGCTTGCTCATTTTGTTTTAGCTCCTTGTTATTTGCACTGACTCTAAATTTCCTTCATGGAGTAGGCCGGTGTTCAGTTTGAGTTTTCTTTTCTACAGCTTTCAGTTAACCCGAACTTAGTTGTCATTTTCTGGTGGTCTGAAGACGCTTTCTTAAATTACAGACTTGCTTTTGGACACCACCAACTATTTACAACCTACTTTTCCTTCTTTCTTTCTTTTTCTCCATTCCCTATATGTATATAGAAGGATAGCTGGGAAAACTGTACTGCTGATGTCTAATGGTTTATGGAAAGAACAGTTAATAAATTTTTTGACCAACTTTGCATGCTTATATCTGGTAATCTGAACAATTAATTTGAAGACAACAATATGCAATATAACAACCACTGGTAAATTCCATCTTGTCTAGTGAAGCTCTGTATTGTTTCTAATATTATTTAAAAATTATTTTTAATTTTCTTTAATGTTTTGATCAGTCTTGCATTCTTACACCTGGTAATCTGAGCAACTTGGTTGAAGATAACAATATGTAATACAACAACTGCTGTTAATTCCTATCATTCTGTTTTGAAACAGTGTATCATTTTTATTGTTTTTGTTCCATTTTGTTTTTATGTTGTTATTTTGTTATTGCTTTTTCTTATTCTCTTTAAAATAAAAAAAAACCAACTTTTCTATTTGCTTAGTTTTGTTTCTTTTTCTTCGTGGATTTATCTTACTTTGTGTCCGTTTATGAACATAAACAAATCATATTTTGTAAAGGTTCTGAACACTGAGCCCAAAGCCTTCAAGCTGAATTCTATCTCCAGTCTTATTTTTCTCCTTTCTTTTCTTCTTTTCATTCTGCTACAAATATATGTGAATAAAAGGCTACTTACTGTGGGGAGAATGCTGTCTTTCTGGGACCCCTTAGCTGCTGGACAGGCTGCGGTGTATAAAGGGGGAAGAACGCACCGATGAGTGCGTCTCCCCCCTTGTGCACACTGTCTTCCTTGCTCCACAGGCACCTGGCGGGGAGGACACTGGGCAGAGAGAGGGGGGACCTCAAGGTCCAGAGGACAAAAACGAAAGCGAACATCCTAGTGAAGTCTTGAGATCTTCAACCCCCGGAGGAAGTGGGACTTGCTGCAAGCCAGGTGCACACCGCGACATTTGTGTGGAGCACGTGAGTCCGTGTTTTTATCACCGTGTGCACTGAGGGTCGCTTCATGTTCTCAGATCCTGTCCCCGACCTCTTCCCCGCCTCCTGGGGAATCTCGACTACTCTCTGACCCGGGGCTCTGCATCTGAGGTCCTGTGTGCAGGCGGCAAATGGAAGTTGGAGAATACAACTGAGAAGCATCTTTTCAGTCCCAGGTGGTATGATGTCATCTGGATCCACCAAGAGCGAGGCGCTGGAGAAATCCACTCCAGGATGGATTTGCTTCCAGGCATCTGTGAAGGAACCGCTGCTCCAAACACCACCGGCAGCGATGGGAGGGGGTTGCATCAGGGTTGACAAAGTGGGATATGAGGTCAAAATGTGAATCAGGATTTGCAGAGAAACAGCAGGCCTTCCATCTGGATGCCTCAGCTTCCAAGTAGCACCCAGTGCCCCACCAGGTGTGGAACCGCCTCTGTGTACCCTGTGAGCATCTGTCTGTGAAGTGTGCAGAATTCTCTACAAGAGCATGTGCTCCCCTCTGCCAGAAAAAAAACAATCACTATGAGTCCAGAAATCCCAAGTTAGTCCCTCAATAATCATGCAGACCTGATCTTTCCAATGCTCTGTCTCTCTCTTGCTACACTTCATGGACAGGACTCATTTCCCTTTCTAGTCATACTTACATATTGTTCACCTGGGTCTTTACAGGACCTTTTAATAATCCTCAAATCCTGCTCCTGTTTCTTAATCTGGTGAACTCATTGTCCTTTTCTGTCTTCTGGCTAAATTTCCCAGAGTCTCCAGATTCTGGTCAGAGTAGTAGCACCTGCTAGTCTCATTTTTAACACAATGATGGTTGGCATTTACACAATTTAAATTTATTGTTATTATTATTATTATTATTATTAATTTGTCTTTTTGAGAAAGGGTCTCACTATGCAGTTCAGGCTGTTCTTGAACTCACTTTGTAGCACAGGCTGCAACTTGCAATGATCCTCCTGCCTCAGCCTCCTGAGTGCTAGGATTACAGGTGTGTGCCTCCACACCCAGCTCCAGTTTAAATTACACTTCATGCACAATCATTCATCTGTGATGTCTGATTGCCTCCCTGGAATGCAGCCACATGCAAGACGGTGTGGTTATGGTTACAGACCAATGTACTAAAACTGTGTGTGACACAGACACCTGCAGTCACTGCCATGCAATGAAGGGGACGTTTTCATGACTGTAAGTGAAACCAAAACAATGAACAGACATAAAACCCTCGCACAGGTAGTGTGCCTGGAAGGTGCCACAGTGATATTCTGAACCCTAATTCATTAGAACTCTTCCCCTGTCCCATAGAAAAGGAGAGTTTATTTCCACCGTGGGTGAACGTGAGTGGGCTTCTGATCCTATAAGTCAGTAGAATACGAAAGAGGGATTTCCACACGACTTCAGAAGCTAGCTCAGAGAGACAGTCTGCCTCATGTTTGTTTTTATTAGCACGATGAACAGTGCTCAAGATGGACAAAACAACATATTTTGTACACTCATGTGAGGGCCCCTGGGCAGCCTATGGGAAGACCACATTGCCCACTGCCCTGTGTGGGTGGGATCCAAAGCTCCCTCGAGGGGCTGTGTATAGGTGCCCAAGTCACAAATCATAGTTCTCAAATCAGGGACTGGGATATTGCTCAGTGGTACAGCGCTTGCCTGGCAAGTGCAAGGTCCTGAGTTCAATTCCTGGCACACACACACACACACACACACACACACACACACACACACACACACACGACAGTTCTCAAATCATCTCAGCACAGGTATCAGAAGTGAGCAGCCAGGTGTGGTGGTGCATGCTTGTCATCTCAGCACTCAGGAGGCTGAGGCAGGAGGATTGTCACAACTGGAGACCAGCCTGGGTTACAGAGTGAGAGACCCCGTCTCAAAAAAAAAAAAAAAAAAAAGTGAGCAATGATTTATATCTTTTTTTTTATTTTAAGGATAAAAGGAGGGAAACATTAACAGACATACAACATTTTACAACATATCACAAGCACAATACAGACAATACAGAGTTCCAAA